GTTCCGACTTGTAACAAAACACTGCCCGGTCCTGTGCCATCCTCTCAGTTGTTGCTATGTTTGAGCCCATTGTTGCAGCCACTGTGTCAATCCATCTCACTGAGGGTCTTCCTCTTTTTTGCTGACCCTCTGCTTTATCAAGCATGATGTCCTTCTCCAGGGACTGGCCCCTCCTGATAATATGTCTGAAGTATGTGAGACGAAGTCTCACCATCCTTGCCTCTAAGGAGCGTTCTGGCTGTACTTGTTTCAAGACAGATTTGTTCGTTCTTTTGGTAGTACACAGTATATTCAATATTCTTTGCTAACACCATAATTCAAAGGCATTGGTTCTGCTCTGGTCTTCCTTATTCATTGTCCAGCTTTTGCATGCATATAAGGTGATTGAAAATATCATGACTTGGGTCATGTACACCTTAGTCATCAAAGTGACATCTTTGCCCTTTAACACTTTTAAAGAGGTCTTTTGGAGCAGATTTGATTTCTTGACTGCTGCTTCCATGGCTGTTGATTGTGGATCCAAGTAAAATGAAATCTTTGACAACTTCATTCTTTTCGCTGTTTATCATGATGTTGCTTATTGGTCTAGTTGTGAGGATTTTTTGTTTCTTTATGTTGAGGTGTAATCCATATTGAAGGCTGTAGTCTTTTATCTTTATCAGTATGTGCTTCCAGTCCTCTTCACTTTCAGCAAGCAAGGTTATGTCATCTGCATATCACAGCTTGTTAATCAGTCTTCCTCCAATCCTGATGCCGCGTTCTTCTTCATGTAGTTCAGCTTCTCGGATTATTTGCTCAGCATACAGATAGAATAAGTATGGTGAAAGGATACAACCCTGATGCACACCTTTCCTGATTTTGAACCATGCAGTATCCCCTTGTTCTATTTGAACGACTGCCTCTTGGTCTGTGTGCAGGTTCTGCATGAGCACAATTAAGTGCTTTGGTATTCCCATTCTTCGCAAAGTTATCCATAATTTGATATGATCCCCACAGTAGAATACCTTTGCATAGTAAATAAAACACAGGTAAACATCTTTCTAGTATTCTCTGCTTTCAGCCAAGATCCATCTGACATCAGCAGTGATATCCCTCATTCCATGTCTTCTTCTGAATCTGGCTTGAATTTCTGGCAGTTCCTGTTGATGTACTGCTGCAACCATTTTTGAATAATCTTGAATAAAATTTTACTTGCATGTAATATTAATGATATTGTTCAATAATCTCTACATTCTGTTGCATCATCTTTCGTTGGAATGAGCACTGATATGGATCTCTTCCAGTCAGTTGGCCAGGTTGCTGTCTTCCAAATTTCTTGGCATAGACGAGTGAGCCTCCAGTGCTGCATCCGCTTGTTGAAACATCTCAGTTGGTATTCGGTCAATTCCTGGAGCCTTGTTTTTCACCGATGCCTTCAATGCAGCTTGGACTTCTTCCTTCAGTACCATCAGTTCTTGATCATATGCTACCTCCTGAAATGGTTGAACGTTGACCACTTCTTTTTGTACAGTGATTCTGTGTATTCCTTTTCCTGTTGACTTAGTATTTTAATCAGGAAACCACTAGGTTAAAGACAGAAGTGTTAACATAGGATGGCAGAGTCTACTGATTAGCTAATTCAACCTGTGACACAATCTACACGAGGAGAGTATGCCACTTTGTTTTCTTATTGACTCTTCTCATATAGTATTTACTAGGGGGTCATCTCCTAGCGAGGTGGGGATGGGGCTAGATGCCTCATCATCCGGACTAGCATTTAGCACAGAGAGGGCACCTAGTTAATGTTTTCTGTTTGTCATACTATATTTCTTACCTCTTGACTCTTTTTTTTTTTCGTTAAGCTTTCTAAATATTAATTACTTATGGGTATTCTTAATGCCTGTTCTTTAGGAAGTAAGTCTCCTTAAATGTAAGCAGAAAATGTCTCCTGCTAGCTCAGCATAGCATGTTAACAAGCTTACCCTGGAAGATGTGAAATTAAAGTAGCTGCAACCACATCCAGTCTCCTGACTTTGTTCCTGTTGATCAGCATTTAGCATGTCATTTCTCAGAGTGTGAGATTTCTTTTCTCTTTTTGTCCTTCTTTTTGAAAGCCTTTGTCTCCCCAGACAGAATACATAGCCAGAGTTTTCCAGGAGTGTTCTTTGAGTACACATTTTCAGGCGGTGCATTAAACATATTACAGCTTTCCCCGTTCGGTGTTGCTCATCATCGGCGTGTCTTTTACATCACATGTGCCTCTCTTCCTGTTCCAGTGAGCTTTTCTGCTGTGGTTGATATCTTCTTTTTTTTCCCCCGATGGCTGCTTCTTGTATTCAGTAGTTCAAATCCTGTCACCGCGCAGGTTTGCTCTTTAAATATCTTATAAGCTACCGTCGTGTCAGGGAGACTCACGCAGAGTTTTGCGTATATAACAGATCTTGTCAATTCCTCAAAAAAATTCCAGCAGAAAGGAAGTTTTACCATTAGTATAGTGTAGAAAGATGATTAAACAGTTCTTGGGAAAGGAAGGATATTCAAGTGAGAATGAGGACTAGTAGTTAAAATAGAGGGTATAGCTATTATTGCTGAATAACATTATATAACAGCTTCTTTTATGATACAGTGCTATTTAGATAGAGTCTTGTCACATGTTGGGTTTGGGAGCCCAAGTATGAGGAAGCTCAGTTTTGACTCAGATTCTTCGGCATCAAGGTGTGCAAGAAATGCACAACTTGTGCAAGTACTTCAATAAAGTTATTATTGCAAACTGCCATCCACCTTCCCTCTAATACTTATAAAGGCCTCTAGTGTCAAAATATTATCAGCTTCTCTCCTTTGCAATTTAGAAAGGAGTGGGAGGGTAGGATTTATGACTGCATTAAGGAGTGATTGAATAATAGATTCATTCATTTTAATAAGCATTTATCAAATGTTTGGTATGCCAGCACTGTATTAGGTGCTGGTGACACAAAGATGAATAAGACACTGTTCTTGTCCTAAAGGAATGAACAGTCTAGTTGGGGAGAGCAGTGTGGTTTACAAAAGAAAAGAAACACTGTATTTACACATAGAGCCGCAGAAGAAGTGCTGGAATTGTAGAACCGCGCAGTGCTGTGGAAGCAAAGGGGTGGGGGTGGGGTCGGGGGACAGTGAGCCAGGAGCAGGATAGGTGGCAGGATAATAGACCAGGCCAGGAAGAATGTGTGCCAGGAGGCTGAGCCTAGAGTAGGGATCTAACCTGAAGTGGAGTCTAGGGCTATTATTTAGAATTTGCAGACCGTGTACTCTGTTTCTATTTTATTAAAAGGAAGAAGTCGGTAGGGATAGTACAGTGGAGAGCTAATGTTGGGGGCACCCCATACAAGCCTTATTTGCACATTCTGTGATTTCTTCTCTTGAGCCTGTCTTATTCAGTACTGTTGTCAGTAGATCTGTTTCTCCTCTTCTGCACTGAGTCTGGAGGCTCACCTCTTGTCCCCTTGATGCCTGTTCCTCAGGATTACTAACCCGCTGAGGTGCAGATCGAGGGCACCCCTCAGCCAGAGCTACTTTCCAGCAGCAGCAGAGGCAGCCACCCCAGCTTCTGAGGGCCTTCTTTTAACTGTAAAAAAGTGTAAGTTTATCTAGGTCTGTGGTCTGAATTTTCAGTCCTCTCTGCCTTAGGGTTGCCAATTCGGCTCACTACAAAGGCTTCTGAAAAGGCATAGCCTATGCAGAATCTCTGTCTCATAAAGGAAAATGTTGATGGTATATTATCAGAGGATGTTGTTATGTGTGGCACCCACAGTAATTATGACATATGACATATAATTATGACAGCTCTGAGCTGTCTGGGTTGAGAGACACTTCAGAATCTAATTAGCCAAAGGCAGTAATAATAAGATACAAGATGTAGTCAGTATCCTTCAAATGGTAGAATTGAGCTACCTTCAAAAACAGAGTGGATTAAGGAAAAATACTGGTGTGGCAAGGTTGCAGTGTAGAATAGTGGGAGTTTTAAACTTTACAGTGGTTTTAAAATTATGATTGTTTTCTGCTTACTGCAGTGTTTGACTGTCTCTGATTCCATTGTAAGCTCAGGGAGAGAGGGCCTGTGTCTTTGTTCGTACTGTGCTGACATGTGAGATGACACTCAGAATATCTTCCTGAATGGATGAAAGACGAAAGAAGGGAACAAATTTAGTTCATCTAAACCAGGGCTTGAAAACTTGCTTCTTCTTGTATTTGTCACACTGGCATGTTTTCTTTGAACTTCTGTAATTTAAAAAAGAAAAAAAGAAGAATTCGGTGCCAATATTTAAAAGTTAGAAGATTTACATTTAAAAATATCTGGACTTTCCAGTGTATCTGGAAAAAACAGGAGATCTGATGGTGAGCACCGGGCTCGTCTTCCTACTTGGCAGCAGTTGACTGGCAAAAAGTAGCAGCTGCCTGCCTTAGACAGGAATGTGGCCTTCAGCCCCTACTCTCCTCCGCTTCACTCAGTTGCAAAACCTACCTGGGCTCCGTGGCCATCTGAGTTTGGAGCCTGAGTCTGGAACCTTTTTTACCTTTAAAATTAGATCTCATGCTTGTATGTATTTTGCCTTAAATATAGCAAAAAAGTTTAAGAATTTTAGGGCACATACATTATGCATCATCCTGATGAAGTGTTTTTAAGCCTCTTAGTTTTCTACTTGCCTGTGATTTGTAAAATGAGTTAGTGTAGGCTCTAGGAGCCCTGGTGGTGCAGTGGTTAAGGGCTCGACTGCTAACCAAAGGGTTGCCAGTTCGAACCCACCAGCCACTCCATGGGAGACAGATGGGGCAGTTTGCTTCTATAAAGATTACAGCCTTGGAAACCCTATGGGGCTGTTTTACCCTGTCTTATAAGGTCATTAGGAGTTGGAATCAACTCCATGGCAATGAGTTTTTAGTTAATACAGCTTTGTAGAGAGTTTCATTTATACGTCTTAAAAGTTAGGACCTGTGTGTGTATGTGTGTTTTTTATATATATATATATATATATATATATATATATATATATATATATATATATGTTTGGCTTGAAAAATAAGCATTTTTCAGTGAATAGTATTTAGTCCTCTGATGTATGCCACATAGAGCCCTCATCAAAGCATCTGATGTTGTTAATTGCCATCAAGTCATGGCGACCCATGTGTGCAGAGTGGAACTGTTCCATAGGGTTTTCAAGGTTGTGACCTTTAGGAAGCAGATGGCCAGGGCTGTTTTCCAAGCCGCCTCTGGGTGGGTTCAACTGGTAGTCCAGTGAGTAATTGTTTGGGAGCGCTTAACCCTTTGCACCACCCAGGGACTCGAAGGGCAAAAGAAACAAGCCAGGTGCCTTGGTTTTACTGTTTATGGTCTAGATAGGAAATGTTAAACCCAGATGCAAGATACCAGCATTCCAGGTGCAGAGATGCACTTACTGTGTTTATAATATTTTTTATAGTCTCCAAGAATTGTGTCTTCCTTAAGCATTTACTGAAATATAATTTTCTGAAAGTAAACTTGCTGGTATTACCTAGGTGAGACTTTTTCATTTAAAACATTTCTAGATTAGCTTGTTTTTCGAATAAGAGTAAATTTGATAGCAGTTTTCCATTCTGATTTTTAGGTTTTTCTTTTTAAAATATCTGTCATATTGAATGCAGTATGATAGCCGTTGATGTATACTGCATCCAAAACCAAACCAAACCTGTTGCCATTGAATTGATTCTGACTCATGGCGACCCCATGTGTTACAGAGTAGAACTGCTCCATAGGGTTTTCTTGGCTGTAATCTTTATGCAAGCACATCTCCAGGCCTTTCCTCCAGGGCACCACAGTGTGTGTTTGAACCCTCAACTTTTAGGTAAGGAGTCGAGCGCAAACTTTACACCACCCAGGGATGTCGTATACCTCATAGCACAGGAAAAATTGTTGTTGTTAGGTGTTATCGAGTCAGTTTTGACTCATGGTGACCTCATGTGACAGAGTAGAATTTCCCCATAGGGTTTTCTAGGCTGTGATCTTTACAGGGGCAGATTGCCCAGTCTTTTTCCCATGGAGCCACTGGGTGGGTTTGAGCTGCCAGTAAAAATCATATATAAATATGAATATATATATGTGTAGGAAAGATGGGATACTTCTGCATCCAGAATGTGTGAAGACATATGTTTGTATATAATTGTTTTCCTGTAGGCAGACTCTTCTTTTTTCTTTCTTGTCCAAATGAGTGATTTAAAAATGTGACTGTATATAAAATATATACACTGTACTCCAAACATGACAGTAGTCAGCAAACTGCATGAAGTTAGTAACATTAATCTTCAAGTCCCAAATGCAGACATTTTCTCTCTCTCTTACAGTTACATTTCTCAATGCAAAAATAAACAGCTTGTCAAGGAGCCAGTTGATAAAGTGCCACAGTATTGTATCTAGGTAGTTTTGGGTTTATCTACCTTCAGATTATATCGAGTTTCCTCATTTAAAGTGGCATTGGCCAGAGCTAGTGGTGCAGTGGTTAAGAGCTATGGCTGCTGATCAAAAGGTCAGCAGTTCAAACCCACCACCCACTCCTTGGAAACCTTACAGGGCAGTTCTCCTCTGTCCTATAGGGTCGCTCTAAGTCGGAATTGACTTGACAGCAACAAGTTTGTTTTTTTGGTCAGGTGCCTGCCTCTTAGTCATTTTCTCGTTAACTCTAATGTTGCAGTAACTTGAAGCTAGACTGGTGGGCCCCCAAAAGAAATGAAATTCATGTGCTGTGTTAGTGTTCTTTCCTACACTGGTATTGCTTCTCAGCCCCAGGCCTTTTTCCTTAACAGGTGACCATCACATCAGGTCATCGGCAGAGGGGCAATGTGTTTTGTGAGTAACTGGTGTGTGTAGAGGAGCCCTGATGGCCAGTGGCTAAGCACTCAGCTGCTAATCGAAAGGTCTGTGGTTCGAACTCACCAGCTGTTCTGTGGGAGAAAGATGTAGCACTTTACTTTCCGTAAAGATTACAGCCTTGGAAAACCCTATGGGGCAGTTCTGCTCTGTCCTACAGGGTCACTATGAGTCGGAATCAACTCCATGGCAATGGGTTTGGTATTTTTTGGTTTTTATGTCCTATTCCAAAATTCCTGTTTTCAGGAAGAGTGGAATTGCCTGGTAAGGCCTGTCTCCCCTAGGCTTGTTCAGGTAAACTGTTGGAAGGAGACATGGGACTTGGATTTATAAGGTGATAATTTGTAAAGTTTACAAAGAAGAGAATTTCTGTCAATTATCTTACGTGATCTTCACATTAACTGCAGCATGTGATCACTGTAGCATCTCCTTTTCTTTCCTCAAGGACTGGTTCTCACTCTGGTTAGCAGTTTCCTCTGCTGTCAGCAGCTGGGGAGTAGTGGTGACCAGAGAAGGAGAGTAGGGGCTCCTTGACCGTGGAATTCTCACTCGTATTGAGGAGACGGCCCTTTGGTCCACTGTCTTTTTCCTTCTAAACCCTGCCCTTCATTTCCATTAAAAAATTTACATCATCCCAGAGGCACAGTTTTTGAGACTTAAGAAATCTCAAAACTTGTGTAAGACTTGAACCTATTAGGTTGTTTATTTTTCAGTGTGAATTAATAATTATTTCTTTTAAGTAGTACCAGAATAAAAAAAATCTAAGTTTTTTTCCTTCAAAAAGAAAGAAAATGGCCACTTTGCTACATTAACATTTCTAAAGTCTTTCGTCTCTGCTTTTTCCCAGTTCTCCAGGGGGGATACAGAATTAAGTGTCACAGCAGTATTTGTACCACGAGCCACAATACCACACCCATTTACTAGTGAGTTCCTAATTTTTTTTGTTTTAGATTGATGAAGGGCTGCTTGGACTTTGACTCTCCTCAAGATGTTAATTATATGTTTCAAAATCATGTGTTCTGTTAAAAATCACTTACGCATAGCCTTGGAAAGAGAACTGGAGGCATGGAGTTGCTTCAGGGTGCAGAATATTGTTTTGGAGGCCTTGGGAAATAAATCTTAGGAGTTAGTTCATTTACCACCAAGACATATTTAGTCAGTGCATATAAACAAAAGAAGTCACAGTGTGCCTGGACATTATTTGTCCCAGATGGAGTTTAAACTTGGCTCATTATGCCGCACTGATGTCATGGTGCATAAACTGGCCCTGAATTAAAGACGTGCACAGAATCTGCTGTGTGCTTGTATGTGATGAGGACGTGTGAGGAGGAGGGGAGGGGCTGGCTGGAAAATCTTTGTCACATTTTTCCTTTGCTGTCTGCAGAGACTAGTGTCAGTTCTGAATTTGGACTTGTTGCAGAATGAGGGAAGAATTGGAATAATCTGTTCATTTGTACAAGTCGGTATGTGTATGTACTCAGCGACGTAGTTCTTCCAGGACAGAGTACAGTGCACCCGACTTTCCAAGAGTTGCTTACAAAGCTTTACTACTAAAATTTAGAACAGAAAATATTAAAGCATGACATTTTTAAAGAGCATTTTCTGTATGTTTGTCTTGAAATCTTAAATCTGGACAGTTTCTTTAAACTTTTTAATGGTCTTAAGTATCCAGCTGTATAATTCCATTTTCCTGGATTGCATGATGGATAACCCCTTAAACTAGTTGCTTAAGTGTATAAAAGTGCTCCTTAGAGGATCTGGCCGGGGCTGTTTCTTCCTGTGTGCCTTGAGAGGGCAGCTTGTGGGTCAGAAAACGGAGCCAGAGGGGGTTCTCTCCTGGAGTGCCGAGTGTTTAATAGGAAATTTCCACATACTGTGATGTTACTTTATTACTTTTTATTGCTGACTTCTGTTATGATCTTAATTAGAAGCATTTCCAAATGTAGATGTAAAGAGCTTAGATTTCAGAACTTCTGTGAATGGATTCCATAGTCACTGTTGTTGCTGGGATCCATGGAAGCTGGATAGGCACCGGAATGGGAATGAGTTGGGAGGTGAGCTTTGAAGGAAAGCCAGAATGTTTCCCAAACAAAAAATGTGGTCAGAGGTGAGATTGGCTGGGTTTAGATTTTATTGAGAACATGAAACGCGTCAGACTTGGTACTTTTTTTTCTTGAGACTCTCATTAGAGCTCACATTTTTACTTAAATGAGAGATTTGTCATCAGTAGCAATTTGAAGGAAAAGAAGTATTAATACCAGTTATCATTTATTAAGCACATATTATGTGTTTGGCCCGGTATCAGGGCCACACCTGCTTGTCTCTATTCCTTAGAGCAAACACATAATGTCAGTATTATTTCTTTTTCAGATGAGGAAATCTGGGGTTAGAAAGGTTAAGTGACTTGTCCCCAGAGCTCGGAGCTAACCTTGGTGTCTTATTTGCTCTTCTCACAGTGTGTGTATCTTGGGTTTTCTAGTTGATATTTAAACTATTAGCTTAAAGATGAATTGAAAATACCGTGAGGTTAGCAGAGAGTGATTTAACTACTCAGTATTTACATACTTATAATGCTACCCGGAAGGCAGCTCAGTCCCAAACACTAAACGCTATCTACTAATTTTATAGATTGGCAGGAAAAAGAAACTAAAAATGTACAAGAAATATGTGTACCATAACCACCCAACCTGTTGCCATTGAGGCGATTCCGACTTGTAGCAACCCTATATAGGACAGAGTAGAACTGCCTCATAGGGTTTCCAAGGAGCAGCTGGTAGATTTGAACTGCTAACCTTTTGGTTAGCAGCTGAGCTTTTAACCACTGTGCCACCAGGGCTTCATGTGTACTGTACTTCTTATTTATTGAAATCTTCAGAGTACTTTAAGATTCATTTTTAATTTAAAGACTATTGAGTTGTAGGTGATACTGTTTTTTTCTTATCAGTAATTGTGAGTCCTTAGCATAGTTTTTAGACCTTTTTTGTGTATGTATAATAATAAAAGGCAAACTATAACTTCAAGATAGAAAAAATTGAATTAACTAGTTTGAAATGAAATTATTTAGGATCAAAAATTAGATGTTTTGGGGATACTATAAACTTTGAACTCTTGTAAATAAGTAGTGCAACAATTCTCCTGAAATTCATACTTGTTTCCTGGTAGTCCACTGGTATACCTTTCCTGTTGGTCAGCAAACCAACCCACAATGTAGGAGATGGGCACAGTAGTCCATTGTGCCTGCTTGGTGAGTAGACTAGAAATGAAGAAGTGGTAGATTGTCTGTTGCATGCTTTTTGGGTTAGCTTTTTAGAGCAAAGGCCAATAAACCTGAGAGAAGAAATAAGGGAGAGGAAAAGCCTAGGAGATGGCATAGTGACTGCTTTTAGACACATGTCGGTGATAGCATTGTTAGATAGCAGAATTAGAGAGTGTGACCAGAAGTAGGAAAACATGAATTATGGCTTTGAGAGCCATATGCATTACTCCAGAAAAAACAAAAACAAAAAACCCAAACCCATTGCCATCGAGTCAATTCCGACTCATTGCGCCTCTATAGGACAGAATAGAACTGCCCTACACACCTCCATAATCTTAGAAACCCCAGTGTTGGTAGAAAGGTAAGGCAGACCTGTACAGCAGCAAACCCCAACATCTGGATAGCGATATTTAAAGGTTAAACCAACAGTTATTGGAACAACTTAATCTTTGAATTATGTCATAGATGGATGTTGCCGTAACTTCTTTACTGGTCTCTGTGTGCAGTGTCTTCCCCTCGTAGTTTTGAGTTTTCATCGCTAGTAATACTGCTTTCCTGCTGGAAAATCCAGTGCTCTTAAGATGAAGTCCAGCCCTTTAAGTGGGGGCGAACATAGCCTTTCTCAGGTGGCCCTGGCCTGTCTATGCAGCCTCACCTTTACCCCTTTGTCACATGCATACATTGTTACAGCCACGTTGGAATTCTGGCTGCTGCTTAAACACATTATACTGTTTAGGTTGCAACGTATTTGCTTGTGTAATTGTTTTTTTGCTTACCTACCTGCACTCTCCTGTTTCCCCTATATGTGTCACTCCCAACTATACATTTTGGTCTTTTATTTTCTTGGTTTTTATCTTGAAAGTCCTGTAATTGAAACTTCAGATTTGGATGTTTGTGGTTCTTTTAAAAGAGTCTCTTAACCTAGTTTGGGCCATTGATACTGCATTTTGCATTTTTTTCTGTTTGAGTTAATGCTATATTTTTATTCTTAGCAAATAGCAGCCCTTTTTGTAACAGAATCTCTTTATTCAAGGCAGTATACAATTAGGTGGGGTAGAAGTATACAACTTCTTACAAGCTGCTGTTGTATTTTCTTTATAGCCATAGTTCTTGCCACTATCTGTAATTATTTGTTAGTTCATTTGAATACCATGCAAGTTCTGTTTGTAAGCCCCCAAACCAAAAAAACCCAGACCCGATGCCATAGAGTCGATTCCGACTCGTATTTGTAAGGCCCAGGTGGGCAGAATTTTGCATGGTCTAAGTCTTTGTCCTCAATGCCTAGAGAAATACCTGGTCAATTGTGGGCTCTCAATAAATTTTTGCTGAATTAACACTAAGATAGTCATAATTCCTCTGAGGGCATTTGTGTCATAAAATGCGGTTATTTAACTCTTCTATATCTGTGTGTTTTCTGCATGTATGATTTTAGTGCATAAAAGCATCATCCTTGGTTGATCTGACTTCGGTTTCCTCAGTTAACCCATTATCTGTTTCAATCTTTTGTCAATGACAGATAAAGTTTTGGGAAGCATAGGAGCTTATAATGCAGTTTTCTCAGGAGTCATTTTTATTTTTCTTATGCTTTCTCTTGGGTCATAAGAATTGACGTCTTGTAGCTGTGATGTTATAATAGAGTGGGTAACTCATTTGTTCATCTCAGGATTCTAGGAGAATTCAAGATCTTGACAAGGACTTTATGAGAATTAAATCCAGCCCAATAAAAAAACATCTAGGAGCTCTGGTGGCACAGTTAAGAGTTTGGCTGCTAACCAAAAGGTTGACAATTTGAATCCACCAACCACAGCTTGGAATCCCAATGGGGGCAGTTCTCCTCTGTCCTATAGGGTTGCTGTGAGTTGGAATTGACTCGACAGCAACAGGTCTTTTTTTGTTTTTTGTTTTTTAATGTGTTGTTAATTAAGAGATTCCTCAGTACCTAATTGCCATACTCTGTTTAGGAAGGGGACTGAGGGGAGTCTGCCTCAAGGAGTGAGCACAGATTTCCTAGAAGAGAACTTGTCCCCTCTGTTTGTGGACATGCCTTTAACCCAGTTAAATGCATTTGCTTGCCGTAGTTATTCTTGGAAGTGTCCCCATAGAGAATTGACTCTGTCAAACCCATGGATATCAGAGTGGGGAAAGTTGTGTGATATAATAGAAGGGCATGCATTTTGGTCAGACAGGGCTGGATTCCAGTGCTGGATTTCAGTTGCTTTTTAGTTTTGTAATTCCAGATAAGTTACTTACTCTTTTTAAGCCTCAGTTTTCCCATATGTACTGTCCAGTTAATAATACAGTAGATTCTCACTATTTACATATTCCATATTTGTGGATTTGCCCACTTGCTAAAATTTATCTGTAACTCCAAAATCAATGTTCATGGTGCTTTAACGGTCATTTGCAGATATACAGAGGGCAAAAAATTTGAGGTGCCCGATGTGCATGTTCCCAGCTGAAGTTTAACAAGATGACTCTCTGCCTTCTTGTTTCAGTTCTTGTACTGTGAACAAATGCTCTTTTCACAGTCTGTTTAGTGCCGCATCTTTCCCATCGTTATGCTTTTTCTGGGCGATTTTGCTGTTGAAAATGGCCCCCAAGCATAGCGATGAAGTGCTATCTTGTGTTCTTAGTGCACGAAGTCCGTCATGTGCGTTATGAAGAAAATACATGTGTTAGACAAGCTCCCTTCAGGCATGAATTACAGTGCTGTTGGTACTGTAATAGATATTAAATAAGGTGTCTTTAAACTGAAACACACATAAAAGAAGTCTGTATATTGATTAGATGATGAGAATATTGTGACCAGAGGCTCGCAGGAACCTAACCTTGTAGGCATTGTCTGAGTCCTCTCCCTTTTCTCCAGATCAGGAACATGGGAGGTGATGGGCTGCGGATGACCATTAATTGCTCTCTCTGTGGTAATAACATACACAAAGAAAATGCCACAGGATTAAAAACGTGAGCAGGTAAAATAGAAGGGTATTGGAAGATGATGGGAAGTATTATTGATTGCCTCGGTTTGCTCATCTGTCTCCCTGAAGACTGAACCCAAAGCTGGCAGGTGGAGAACACGTAAGACCGTGAAGTCTCCGAGAGGACGTAAACAAACAGTGGGTCAAGGCACAAGGACATACATGGTAGGTGAAGCTCTTCCTTGATCAACACAGCTAATAGGATAAAGGTCTTGTTTTATTTCCACATCTAGGACGAGGAAGGAGCTCACCAGGATTTGTCTGGACTTTGAGAATCTGGGGTGTGTGAGAGAGAGAGACCAGTAAAGAGGAGCTACTATTCTGCTCATGGAGCCAAAGTTCCCTTTTTAGAAGTTATTAGTTTTTCCTGAAGAGAATCCTTCCTTCCCTGAAATCTTCTGCAGTTTTGAGGTTGTATCATTTTTTCCTCAAAGGTATCTGCTGGATGATCATGAATGCTGGCCAAGTGAGAAATGTTCATTTACGCATGTAACAGCTAAGAATGAGTGAGACAAGCCTCACAGAGTGTGTAAGTGGACAGAGCTCCTGAAGTGAAACGAGATCTCTTCTCCCACCACATTTTAAATCTTGATTATCTGTACTGGATTTAACTTTCTAAAATGCTGCCAGTGTAATATTTCATCTTTGATCAGTCAGTACTGTTCTCCCAACAGAAGCTTCTTTGATGGACTGATTAACATTGCAGTGATTTCTTAGCCAGGTGGCTGGTAATTTTTTATTTGAGGCATAAGTTAGGAATTTCCCTCTGAGTAGTCTTAGATACTACATATCTTCTGATTAATCAGCCACCCAGAATTTAAATTGCAAAAGTAGCTTTCTTTTCCCCTTCTAATAGTGAAAATACTGGAGCCTTGGTAGTGTAGTGGTTAAGAGCTACAGCTACTAACCAAAAAGTCTGCAGTTCGAATCCACCAGCTGCTCCTAGGAAACCCTGTGGGGCAGCTCTACCCTGTCCTATAGGGTCACTATGAGTTGAAGTTGACTTGACGACAGTGGGTTTGGTTTTGGAATGAATGAAAAACTGAGTTAGATTTAGATTTATACCTTTAAGGAAAAGATCTGTTACCCTTGCTTCAGTTTTTTTGTAACTAAAGCATTCTCAGGATGCTGTGTTTACCCTTTTGTTCAATTGTGTTAATTCTAATGCTTGTTTTATTGTTTCTTTAGACTTTGAAAGAGTGGTTGTTTATTTTTCATTAAGCCTTGATAAACTACCTCTAAATGTTTTAGGCTTCTTGGTTCATGTACCACTAACGGATTTGAAACAGATCTGATAAAGCAGTAGTAGCCTGAAGTATGCTCCTATGATTTGATTAACACAATTGTGTTTCAGCATCTTGAAGGAAAAAAATCTATCAGTGGTTAAAATCTTTGTCCCCCCCGCCGTGTGTCTGACAAGACACAGAGTGCAACATAAATCAGTTTAATGCTGACTTTGGAAAAGCAGGAAATGCTTAGTGAGTGGACAAAAAGTGAGGAGATTTGGACAGCGATGTTATTATGTTTTACGTTCTGTGTTTAAGAAAACTTGTAACAGTTGTGTCTGCTTTGTGGCCAGAGAGAGAGACTAACTGATTTGTATGATACAAAAGGTTAAGTGCCAGGGATCCTGCCAGGGTGTGACTCATGCTCCTCAAGGCTGACTGATGCAAGGCCTGTGGCTGCTGTTTCATTCATGTATGTTGTCAGGGACAGATCACTGGCTTGCTGTGTGTCAAAGCTTTATTTCTATCTCTGCTTTATTGACAGTAAAAACAGCAAGGTGGTCAGTCTCCCTCAGTATAATAAAAGCTTTATTTTAAAACATCTCAGTGCCAAGGTGAATATGGTTTGTTCAAATAACGAGTTTTGCTCTTACTCAGAAAAATTGATACTGGGACACAGGAGATTTGCCTGGTTTCTGAGGTAACTCTGTAGATTATAATCTGGTTGCCATGACAACCCAGCAGCAGTGAAAATTATGGGAAGCAAACATTTGAAGAGAGGTTATTTTAGTAGGATACTGAAAAGCACTATCATCTCTTTTCCTGAAGAAGTGGGTTGAGGGTCAGGAATTGGCCTTAGTAAGCGGAGGGGGAAGGCATAAGTGGATTTTTGAGGGTGGATGCCTGGAAAGTGGACGCCTGGAGGCCATTCTTTGAAACGTGGTCTGGTGTCAGTGACCACTAAGGAACGGTGAGAGACACTTCTTGCAATGTGATGATCAGATAATATGACAGAATCTGGAACATACACCAATTCAGACATCCCTTTCCTTGCCTGGAATTTTCCATAATAATGGTGAATTGTATTTTCAGAACCCATATTCAGGGCACATTGACATTTCTGAGTGTGGTAGGGGAGAGTATATGAATTTGAGATTGTCAAAGAAAATCTGAGGCATGGAGTCTTGGTGTCCATTGGTTTTTTTTTTTTTTTTTTCTCTCTCTCCATTAATTCCACAGGCATGTATTACAGGCCTGTCCCTAGGGGTTTAAACAAAAAGCAGATGGTTTCTGCTTTATTATAGTGATGTTAGACTTGGTCTAAAGACTTTTTACAAATTTTTTTCATTGCAGTGTTGCTTCCATTGTAATTGAGTTGTGTTCTGTATTTATATAAAAATAAAGTTAACGATTTTCATGTTAAAGGAATGACTTTGAAAGCTCAGTTTGAAGAAAGCAATCTAAATGTTTTAGTCTCTCTGGCGATCTGAAGGGATTTCTTTTTGCGTTCTTGAAATGGTGCAGTGTCTGTACATTGGTGAGAATTTGGAGACTGAAAGATCATTGATGCAGTTATTGTACAGGACAAATAAATTGCTCAGAAATAACTGTTATAATTCAAAATAATGAGAAGCACCAGGGATGAAGCTTGGACTTCTTTTCCTTGAATGATCCTGTTTTTTCCAATTAATGTATTTCCTGACTTAAAAAATTTTTAATAGCCCAGCAGTGTCTCCTGTGGCAAGTTATTAGAAGAAGCAAAAGACATGGATATTAAAGGTTTAGTTCTTGAAGATGAAATAACTTTGATTCAGGCATTGTGCTAGGCAGTGGGATCTTGTCCATTTACAGCCTATATTATAAGGAAAGACATGCAAGAAAATAATTGCTTAGTTAACTGCAATTGCAAATTTTAGAAAGTAATTTGTTTTATTTTGTTAGAGAACATATAATGGGAAATCTGACTTGTCATGATGGTCAAAGCTACTTCTTAAGCTAAGAACAATGAAGAGACTTTAGCCGGTCAGGAAAGTAGGGTGAATGGTGTGCAGATACGCAGTAGTCCAGGAAAAGAATTACAGACAGAGGGAACCGTCTGCTTGATGGCTCCAAGGCAGAGAGGAGCAAGGCTTGCTCTAAGAGCTCTAGAGTGAATGTGACACTGACATCCCCCAATTAATGGCGTCAACCTAGTGATCCTTTTAACTACAGTTTTTAAGCTTCGATTGTGTCCTTTAATATGTATTTAGATATAAATTAGCGATTTTTCCTTTTGTTATCCTATGATTAGAACTAAAATTATGAGACTGTCGAAAGAAAACACTTTGTCATTGCCGCTCATAGTCCAGTCTGGAAGTTATCTTCTAATATTAAATATTTGTTAGACTGGTTCATAAGACTGAAACACTGACATTTAGGTGATAGATTTCAAAATTTGAGTGTTAGTGGGACCAACTTGTAATATTATTAATTTATTTAATATTGTTCATTATTATGATCCTCTGCTCAGATACTTCTTTTTCCAAACGTTTTCCTATAAATTGCTTTGTATTGTTACACAATAGACTTACGTAACTCAGGTCAGTAATAGATACTTTGGAAAAGTATGCAAGAATGTTAGATCAAAACCTTCTCAGTGCAGTTTTTCTTTATTGTTTCTGGTCTTTTATCTTAATTGTTGTTTCTAAATTAGTGAAAGAGAAAAATAAATGTAGTTTCCAAAGAAAAGATTTCATAATTTTTTTAGTTCTGTAACATCATAAGAAACACAGAAGAATTCACTCATGAATGTACTTTTTCCCCCACCTCAAATTTGAACCAGGCCTAAGACTTACACCCTAAGTTTTGTGTTTATATAAGATTCGGTGCCACATACTTCCTGTCTAGTACATAAATTTGGGTAATAAAACTGTTGAAATGAAGAAAAATCCCAGATGTTCTGGTATTAAATTGAAATTAATGTTATTTTGGCAGGTTATTCTCGTTCAAGTTAATCCAGGTGAGACTTTTACAATAAGAGCGGAGGATGGAACGCTTCAGTGCATTCAAGGTAAGGGAGTTTTTTGTAAACCGTCTAACCAATGGAGTTTCCCTTTGTTTGTTATTTTAAGAAAGTGAGGTTTTTCTCTGTCTGCATATGATTTTCTAGAACGAAAATATATCTTGGATTTTCTTGTTTTTTTTTTTTTTTTTTTCTTTCTGTCAAATTGGGACTCCTTAATGCTGATGTAGGCCTGTGGTCTTCTACTCCAAGGGGCAAAGTTAAATACCTCTAATATTTGATGGAATTTTAAGTCAGCTAGTTTAACTTGGAAAAGCTTGCGGTAACTTCATGTATTATAGGATTTGATAACCATGGAAAATGCAGAGATACTAAAATATCTGAAAGCGTGCTTTAAAAGCGCCCTAAAATTCCAGTTGGGAACGAGTGATATTTTAGATACATTTTTCAACTGTGTATTGTGATGATATCCAAATGATGCTTTCACTTGTAAAATCTGTGTTAGTATTTATTGGTTGGTTATTGCTGAGTAGTATATTACTGCAAAATTTAGTGATTTAACACAACAACATTTATTGTTTCACCATTTCTGCGTGTCAGGAATTCGGGTGCGATTTCTTTGGCTCCTCTGGCCCTGGGCCTCTCAGAAGGTTACAGTCAAAGTGTGAGCTAGGCCTGCAGTCATCTTAAAACTTGAATGGGGGTGGATCTGCTTCCAAGCTCACTCAAGTGGTTGTTGGCAGGATTTAGTTTTTCATGGCCTATGTATATGAGGCCTCCCGAAGTTCCTTGCCACGTGGGCTACTCCATAGGGCAGCTAACAATGTGGCACCTGACTTCATTAGAGTGAGAAAGTTAGAGGGAAAGAGTGAGTCGCTAGGTACATCCCACAGTCGAGAGGGGGTTTCACAAGGGTGTGAATACCAGGAGGCAGGGCTTATTTGGGGCCATCTTAGAAAGCTGCATGCTGTAGTCACCCCTTTCGGTCCCCAGTGATTCATGTCCCTCCCACATGCAAAATACCCCCTCCCAAGGTCTCCATAAGTTTCTGCCCTTACAGCATCAGCTCAAAGTCTAGAATCGCATCATCTAAATAAATTTCAGGTGTAGGTGAGGCTCGTCCAGTGTAGTTCTTTGTGCAGCTCCTAGGACTTTTCAACTGATTTCTTGTCTAATGTCTCTTCTCCATAGTTCACTTTGGAAAGAAACGACTTAGGGTACTCTGATCCATATGGAGCTTTGTTTAGGAAGTTTAATGTAGTTCTGTAGCTAGCCTGTAAACACTGCTGTGTCGGAAGTACTGTTGGTGACAGCTTGTTTTGGCAGTGATTGGGGTTATGGAGCAAATGGTAAATTGACATATAATTGAGATCAATACTAACTTACTGATTGGACTGGGATCTGATTAGAGGCTTATTTTTAACACCTGAACTTGTTCACCAATATATAAACAAATGAGGGGAAATGCCCTTTAGCTTCTCTAATGAGCTGCATAGAAATAATGGATTTTTCTGTTGCTTTATGAAGTAGAGCATTCTGCCTTTTAGTTTCACTACTTTTTTTTTTGTACCTACAAGAACAAAATTTGGGAACATTATTTTTGAGCAAGGAGTGTATTTCTTTTCATAAATTCAAGACTAATAAGTTATTAATTGCAGTTAATATGAAATGATTTAATCATTTTATTAATGCTTTTTTACGGATTGGATTTCTGTGCCCATTCATTGTGTCCCTGCAATTGATCTTTGGTGTTCTGAGTCATTTAAAAACAAAACCTAGCCTTTGTTGATGAATAATGTGAAGAAACTTTAGGTTGGGGAAGATAAGAAATAAATGTTTGGAAATAGTATGGTATATAAAATCTTCTACCTATTTGCCAGCCAACCAACCCTGTTGCTGTCAAGTCGATTCTGACTCATAGCGACCCTATAGGACAGAGTAGAACTGCCCCATAGGATTTCCAAGGAGCAGCTGGTGGATTTGAACTGCTGACCTTTTGGCTAGCACTCCTAGCTCTTAACAACTGTGCCACCAGGGCTCCCTACCTACTTGCAGTACTGTAATAAAAGGATATTAGCAACAAAACCTCAGAATCCAATGTGTATCTTAAAAAATGTCACACATAAAAAAACTAGATGAAAAGTCACTTCATTTGTATAGAATGAAGCTGAGGTTTTCAGTTCAATAAGAAAGCAGTTGAGTCTGTGGTCCTAACACTGGCACATCATGAATTGGCTGGTAGACTGTCCCTCTACAACTGAGTCTGTATAGTATAATTGATAAAAGAAAATTGCTGAATAGGTCAGCGTATATAAAATACACTTTTTCATGGCACCTGGTTTTACTTTTTGGTGTTCAGGGAGTATATATATGTTTGTCTTGTTAGCATCTCCCCTACTTCTTTGAGTCCCTGTCAGTAAGTGGTGCACCGTGCAGGAAGTGTTGCAAGCATATTGCTCTGTTCACAGTGAGAGCTGTGTATTTATTCATGATGATGCTTGGAGATAAGTGATATTAACGCCCCTTCCCATGATTTCAAAAATGCCTTTGACTAAAACAAAATCACAGAGCCATTTATCTTTGACTTCCACCGCCTTCTTATTCTTTGTTGTCTTCCAAACACCTAGCTACTACAGTTATCTTTGTTGGAGGCGTGGTGGTACCTGGCCCAATTAGCTGAGATGGCATAGGATGGACTGAGAAGGACCTGGAGCTAAACAGTTTTCTAGGGTAGACAAGGCAGCCTGGCAGGCCGAACCTGGAGTCCAGACCTGTGGCTGCCACGATGTGTAACAGGCAGTCACATAGGCAGAAAGCCTTTATTTGAGTTCCAGTGTGAGTCAGTGAATATTTCACTCCAGGTAGGGAGAGCATAGCAAAGTAGAATGTGGGGATAAGCAAGATTATTTGTAAACTTCATTCAACGCCAGTTGTTATCAACTTTATTCTCGCCATGATTAATATCCTTATTATTGCTAACTCTTATTCAGCTCTTAGACTGAGCTGCATGTTCTGCATGTTCTCTCATTTAATGGGTATGATAGTACAGATGAGGAAGCTGAGTCCCATCGAGGTTAATTCACACACCTAAAGTCACATAGCTAGAAAGTGGTAGAGCCGGGTTTGCTTGATATATCTGACTCCAGAGCCTGTGTTCTTTATTGCCCTGCTCTGTGGCTTTATATCAGGGAAGCATGAAGTTAAATGGCAGGATTTCATTCTCCCTGGGTGCACAACCAAAGCAGGGTGTGTTTCCATTCCGGGAGGGACAGGATTCTGGGCAGGGTATCAGGATGGGTACTCAGGTGGCCTGAATGAGACAGAGATGATTCACACAGCAAGAGTGGACAGTGGAGACTGGGTCTTGGGGAATAAGACAGATAGACACCTTGTTATGAGAACTAAAATGTAGTGGCTTAGAGTGGACTAGCAGACAGTGTGATGCATGGAGCGTTGGTTTGGGCCTCGTTTAATTATATCTGCCCAAAGTCTGGATTGGGCCTAGAGTTGAGGTGGCTGAGCTTCCACCTGGGGCTTCCAGCTCCAGCTGCTGGGAGAGGGCTGGTAAGAGAGGAGTGGTATTATATGGGAGGCAGTCTTTTCCTGCTTGCCCTTTATAAACCTGTTAGGGAACAATCTGAAATTGAGTCATATCGTAGTGGAAACATTTGCATTTTACTGTTGTTGTTGTGAGGTGCCGTGGAGTCGGTTCTGACCCTGTGTACCACAGAACGAAACCCTGCCCAGTCCTGCACCATGCTCACAATCATTGTGCTTGAGCCTATTGTTGGAGCGACTGTGTCAGTCCATCTCACTGAGGGTCTTCCTCTTTTCCACTGTCCTTGTACTTTACCAAGCATGATGTCCTTCTCCAGGGACTCATCCCTCCTGACGACATGTCCAAAGTGAGACATAGTCTCATCATCGTTGCTTCTAAGGAGCATTCTGGTTTTTTATTACATTTTACTAGAGGTTAAAATCAAGAGACTGAAGCCTAGTTAGGCTCTTTCGACACCAGCCAGCAGGTGGTGAGGTGTTTTTAGTGGGGTTGGGGGGCTGATGCTAGTGACATTCCTGGAAATACTGAAGGCACATCCATTGCTTTCGCCATGGTTGAAACTGTCAGCCTAGTAACTTTGCTATTTCAATGCTAGCCAGCGGTTAGGGACCACACTGGGGGAATTAGGAGGTGTAGGGAGTGGAGGTTGTTGCAGTGACTTCCTGGAAACTTGAAATCATGCCATATGAGGTCAGCCCCTTTGCTTGTAGTTGAATTTGTTAGCCTGATAATTTACTCTAGAGGATATTTATGACATCACTAGAAAGAACCCAGAAGCTCATTGTGATGTCATTAAAAGGCAGTTAGGAAATTGAAAGCAAGTTAATATAGAAGAATATGGTTGCTCTGGGAGAAAACAAGATCATGTTTTCATGAGAATGTCCTTGGTGATAATGAAGGAAGAAAAACACAGGAAACGTACAATATGCTGTGAAAGCAGATTCATTTCTAATGGAATATTTCTCAATATTTTCCATGAAACATGACTCACAGGTCTTGAAGGGGCCACAAAAGGTTAGAGTTTATTCTCACTGGGAAGCAGCCCTCTACCTGTGGCATTCTAGACAAAAGAGTTTTCTTTCCTGGGCCAGATGAAATGGATAAAGAGCTAACTGTTAGGAAAAAAAGAACCTTAGCAATCAGTGTAAATTTTTGCCTTTGCTTAAATTCAGAAGTTACTAGAGGGCAGCTGCGGGTCTCTTCCAGTGTTTTCACATCCTCGTCTGAGTGGAGGCGCTGGCAGTGCAGCCTTCCTTCCTGTCCACACATGCCATCTTTTTATCTGGGCCATTCCTCTGCTCCCTGTGAAATCCTCCTGGCCTGCTGTCAGCCAAAACAAATACCACACTTCCTTTTAGGCTCTAGGTCTGTCTCTTCCAGAAGCCCTCCTGGACCCTTCCCTCCGTATCTGGCCTTTCTCTGAATTCCTGGAGGAGCAGGTAGAACTAGCACTACGCAATCTAGTTATAGGTGCACGTCTTTCCTTAGT